CCGCTTTGGGCTGCTCTTGCTTTCGGAGGGGCGGGCTGCCGGTGGCAGGGGAGTGGTGGGATGACAGACTGGGGGGATGGCACGGCAACGGGGGGAGTTGCACTTGTACTGATGGTGGGGGCGTACACCTGAAGGTGAAGGGGTGCCCTGAGGGCTTGAGGGTTCCATTGACGGTTTGGGAGCCCTGGACAGGAGCTGAGGAGTTGCACTGACCGTTTGCGGGTGGTGCACGGGAACTGGGTTGCACTGAGGATTTGGAGGTTGCATTGACGGTTTGGGGGCGTTGCACGGGGGCTGGGTTGCACTGAGGATTTGGAGGTTGCATTGACGGTTTGGGGGCGTTGCACGGGGGCTGGGTTGCACTGAGGATTTGGAGGTTGCATTGACGGTTTGGGGGCGTTGCACGGGGGCTGGGTTGCACTGAGGATTTGGAGGTTGCATTGACGGTTTGGGGGCGTTGCACGGGGGCTGGGTTGCACTGAGGATTTGGAGGTTGCATTGACGGTTTGGGGGCGTTGCACGGGGGCTGGGTTGCACTGAGGATTTGGAGGTTGCATTGACGGTTTGGGGGCGTTGCACGGGGGCTGGGTTGCACTGAGGATTTGGAGGTTGCATTGACGGTTTGGGGGCGTTGCACGGGGGCTGGGTTGCACTGAGGATTTGGAGGTTGCATTGACGGTTTGGGGGCGTTGCACGGGGGCTGGGTTGCACTGAGGATTTGGAGGTTGCATTGACGGTTTGGGGGCGTTGCACGGGGGCTGGGTTGCACTGAGGATTTGGAGGTTGCATTGACGGTTTGGGGGCGTTGCACGGGGGCTGGGTTGCACTGAGGATTTGGAGGTTGCATTGACGGTTTGGGGGCGTTGCACGGGGGCTGGGTTGCACTGAGGATTTGGAGGTTGCATTGACGGTTTGGGGGCGTTGCACGGGGGCTGGGTTGCACTGAGGATTTGGAGGTTGCATTGACGGTTTGGGGGCGTTGCACGGGGGCTGGGTTGCACTGAGGATTTGGAGGTTGCATTGACGGTTTGGGGGCGTTGCACGGGGGCTGGGTTGCACTGAGGATTTGGAGGTTGCATTGACGGTTTGGGGGCGTTGCACGGGGGCTGGGTTGCACTGAGGATTTGGAGGTTGCATTGACGGTTTGGGGGCGTTGCACGGGGGCTGGGTTGCACTGAGGATTTGGAGGTTGCATTGACGGTTTGGGGGCGTTGCACGGGGGCTGGGTTGCACTGAGGATTTGGAGGTTGCATTGACGGTTTGGGGGCGTTGCACGGGGGCTGGGTTGCACTGAGGATTTGGAGGTTGCATTGACGGTTTGGGGGCGTTGCACGGGGGCTGGGTTGCACTGAGGATTTGGAGGTTGCATTGACGGTTTGGGGGCGTTGCACGGGGGCTGGGTTGCACTGAGGATTTGGAGGTTGCATTGACGGTTTGGGGGCGTTGCACGGGGGCTGGGTTGCACTGAGGATTTGGAGGTTGCATTGACGGTTTGGGGGCGTTGCACGGGGGCTGGGTTGCACTGAGGATTTGGAGGTTGCATTGACGGTTTGGGGGCGTTGCACGGGGGCTGGGTTGCACTGAGGATTTGGAGGTTGCATTGACGGTTTGGGGGCGTTGCACGGGGGCTGGGTTGCACTGAGGATTTGGAGGTTGCATTGACGGTTTGGGGGCGTTGCACGGGGGCTGGGTTGCACTGAGGATTTGGAGGTTGCATTGACGGTTTGGGGGCGTTGCACGGGGGCTGGGTTGCACTGAGGATTTGGAGGTTGCATTGACGGTTTGGGGGCGTTGCACGGGGGCTGGGTTGCACTGAGGATTTGGAGGTTGCATTGACGGTTTGGGGGCGTTGCACGGGGGCTGGGTTGCACTGAGGATTTGGAGGTTGCATTGACGGTTTGGGGGCGTTGCACGGGGGCTGGGTTGCACTGAGGATTTGGAGGTTGCATTGACGGTTTGGGGGCGTTGCACGGGGGCTGGGTTGCACTGAGGATTTGGAGGTTGCATTGACGGTTTGGGGGCGTTGCACGGGGGCTGGGTTGCACTGAGGATTTGGAGGTTGCATTGACGGTTTGGGGGCGTTGCACGGGGGCTGGGTTGCACTGAGGATTTGGAGGTTGCATTGACGGTTTGGGGGCGTTGCACGGGGGCTGGGTTGCACTGAGGATTTGGAGGTTGCATTGACGGTTTGGGGGCGTTGCACGGGGGCTGGGTTGCACTGAGGATTTGGAGGTTGCATTGACGGTTTGGGGGCGTTGCACGGGGGCTGGGTTGCACTGAGGATTTGGAGGTTGCATTGACGGTTTGGGGGCGTTGCACGGGGGCTGGGTTGCACTGAGGATTTGGAGGTTGCATTGACGGTTTGGGGGCGTTGCACGGGGGCTGGGTTGCACTGAGGATTTGGAGGTTGCATTGACGGTTTGGGGGCGTTGCACGGGGGCTGGGTTGCACTGAGGATTTGGAGGTTGCATTGACGGTTTGGGGGCGTTGCACGGGGGCTGGGTTGCACTGAGGATTTGGAGGTTCCCCGCACTCCCACACCGCCCCCCCACTGAATCACTAATGCCTGGATGGATGTGAGGGGCTCCAAAAGGAACATTTGGGGAGTGTGGGTGGGGTTTTTTTTTGGGGGGGGGGAGAAGAAGGGAAAGTTTTAAAAATGGGATGGTGACATTTTAATTCTGCTGAGAGGGGAGGAATATAATTCTTCCCCTCCTCCCCCCAATAACCAGAAATATAGAAGAAACAAAATGCAGGGCTATGTAGCACTTTAAAGACTAACAAGATGGTTTATTAGGCGATGAGCTTTCGTGGGGCCAGACCCACTTCCTCAGATCAAATAGTGGAAGAAAATAGTCACAACCATATGTACCAAAGGATACAAATAAAAAAAGTGAACACATATGAAAAGGACAAATCACATTTCAGAACAGAAGGGGGATGCGGGGGGGAAGGAAGGTGAATGTCTGTGAGCTAATGATATTAGAGGTGGGGAAAGGTAAAATGTCTTACCAGCAATATAGAGACCCTGGTTTAGGAGGTGATGAAGAGCAGTGGAAGGAAATGCTGCAAATATGTATCGCAAATGCTATGTAAGAGCCAGGTGGTAACCCTATCATGGGAGGAAAGGAATTAAGGAGGCATGGAGGAAAGGGGGCGAAGGAACTTGGTGGGATGTGGCGTCAGGAAGAACCTGGAGAACAGGTGGGCTGTTTGTGCTGTGGCTAAGGAACCTCTATTAAGTACTACAGGAGCCTCCTATGTATGGAAGGTGTGTGAGATTGGAGTGTATGTGGATTTGGTCCTTACCTTTGGCCTTATGGTTCTGAAATATTGCTTCTAGCCAAGGATTTTGAATTGTTTTATAAAACACTGTTATCTTTATAAATGCAATTTTGCAAGGATAGGAAGAACAGTGTCCGTTGGTTGTGTTAGGCTTTTTTGCTTTAGGATCTGGGTTACTTTTTTTCCCTTGGGAGGAATGGTATGTAAAAAAAAAAAAAAAAAAAAAGTTTAATGTCTTGTAATATGCCCCTTGTACTGTGGGAGACTAGATGGAGTCTGCTGGTGTTGTTGACTTCAGAAAGAGCCAAGTGTAAGGACCTGATGAAATTAATCTTTAAGTTAAACAGATAATTGACAAAAGGAAATTGTGTTTCAATTCTCACAATATATTGAATCTACCTGGTGTTTGAAAGCCACTGAGGAACCTTCAGCACAAAAAATCTCTCAAAAACAGCTTACAAAAAATCTTTGCACAAAAAAGTGAGTTTAGAGTCTTTGCTTTAAATCTTCTAACTTTTGTCTGTGATACAATTATGGTATTAAATATTAATATTTTTTTAATCTGGAAATTTTAAGTTAAATTGACTTTGCATCCACCCAATCATTTAAAAGAGTTATATTTGTATTAATCTTCTTTGCCCCGTATCTGAGATTTCACCTGTTTTCTGACAGAAATGTCAAACATTTCTAGATTTTCTGATTGAAAAGTGGCCTACTTTCACTATAGGCAGCCCTGTATCCTTTGCTGAAATACTGTTTTGCAGCTTCCTACAGCAGTGCTTTTCAGTGAATCCAAACATGGTCTGCAGCCATGGTAATAGAACCCTAGAGGAGGATATTTTTTTCTCCAGGTGTAAAAGTATAGTATCATCACAAAATGAGGTTCCTGTATAATGACACCTACCGAAAAAATGTCCCATGGATTGTAAAAGTAAATACTGAGAACATGACTCTGCACAGTTTTCATATATAACACAAAATAAACATGATTGGAGACGCTCACTTTTTCTCACATTCGATTGCACAAATAGCTCTTGTGAAGTTTCTATTTTCCTGCTGCAAAGTGCATTTCAGACATGCATATTAGTGCCTCAAAGGAATATTATTTACCTGGTGAGCTATAAGAGCTTTTGAAGGATAAATTCAAAAATAATGTGTAATGTTTCCATTTGATTAATTCCAGTTCATAGTTCCAGGGCTATATTCAAGGTGCACCATTTAATTGATCCTGCCTGTGAATGAAATTGACTTTGCCTGTGAATGAAATTGACTATCTCAAACAGCTTTGCTACTTTCAGTTCTACAGTGTACTGTAGACAGTGTCTTTAAGGTGCTAGTTTGAGGAGTCTCTTTTCATTAGATGAATGCATTGATTCTATTTAAATGTTCATTCCTAAAATGTCACCCTTTGCTAGGACTTAATTGATCCTGCCTGTGAATGAAATTGACTTTGCCTGTGAATGAAATTGACTATCTCAAACAGCTTTGCTACTTTCAGTTCTACAGTGTACTGTAGACAGTGTCTTTAAGGTGCTAGTTTGAGGAGTCTCTTTTCATTAGATGAATGCATTGATTCTATTTAAATGTTCATTCCTAAAATGTCACCCTTTGCTAGGACAGATCATGTAAACCAAGACTTTACCTACAGGAGGCTGTTTAAACACTTGGTGGATGGGGCTGGACCCGTGTTAGAAATTGGTATTATAAAAAAGATTGAAAACACTATTTGCTCTATCTTCTTTGATTAATAAAATGGTATTAGAGAGAGAGTTACATGGAGTTATGTAAACACTGCCCCATCAATAAATACAATGGATTAGGAACCCAAAAAAATGCCGGTTGGCACTGGGGAAAAACATGGCTGGCTTCTTTTGGCAGATTTCATAAAGATGCAGCTGGATTGGGTTAAATGAGGTATTCCTCAATGGAAAATGAACAAAGGCAAGGATGTTGCTTTTAATCTATAAATTGTGCTTTGATTCCTGAATGTTCTGGCTTTTAATCTCTTTGAATTCTATTTATATTCTATTTTAAAAATTATACCTTACAGGCTCTTGAATTACAAGTATTTGAGGGGTATAAATGCCAAGGAGCAAGAGGAAATTATTATTGAGATCCAAAGCATAGTAAACAAGGAGCAGTGGGCTGAAACTGAGAAAAGAACAATTTATTTGCGGTGCTGTGAGCTTTTTTCTAGAACATAAATGTAGTCCCTGCCCTGAAGATCTTATGATGTAATATTAGATACAAAGTCATGAATGAGGGCAACAAATATTTAGGGTGTAGGAGGATGAAGGGGAGTGGAAGGACAAAGTGTTACAGTAAGATCACACACTTAATTTAGGAACAGACATGTCTTGGAATTACAGATAATTTAAAAAAATGTTTTGGGCACTGTGAGATTTAGGTTAAACAGCAGCAAGAAATGCCAAACAGTAAGCTCCATTATTGCGCAGTAATTGTCTCAAGGGTTAAAGCTCCACTGGCAAGGAGACATTATGCTTAGTGGTTAGAGCGATGAATTTAAGTGACAGAGCAATACCTGCCTCTGTCACTAAAATTTGTTCTTGAAAGGGAAGTCACTAGTTTTCTTTTTTTTTCACATCCATAACTAGGAATTTGGGTATGTGGTGTTTTGAGATCCTCTAATACAACTGACTGTACTTAAAAAATATTTCAAACTGGGTTGGACAAAACACTAAAGGATGATGAGAAAAGCCCTGATTAGGCACGGAAGGGACAAAATAGTCTAATAGACATATTCCATTTCTAACTCTCACTGGGCCTTAGGTTGATGTAGCTACAGTGCTCAGAATGCTTCTGTCAATCTAGCTACCATTGCTCAAGAAGGTGGAGTTCCTACAGTGACAGGGAAAAACACTTTCCATTACTGTAGTCTGCCTCTATACCACAGGATTATAGTGGCATAGCTGCAGCACCACAGTTAAGCTGCTGAAGCTCCTGACGTATAGACGTGGCCGTACACTATACAGTGGTGTAAATTTTACCCTGTGCTTTACGAAGCAAGGCATGCTGTGTATCCTGAAGAGCTCCTATGCTAAAATACGCCAGACAGATGCAAGGCTACGTGGAGACAGAAATGAGGGAAGGAGAATGAGTAGGGCTAGTTGGTGAAGAGAATGAGAATTCTTGGGGAGGAGGGATTCAAAAAAATAGAAGGTGGGGCTGGCAGATTTTTCTAAAGATAGTGGAGTATGAGAGAGAGGGTATAAAACTGAGACAAGAAAGGGGGAAGCAGCTTTGGGAGGAGTGCAGGAACTGGAAGAGAAAGGGTTGGGAGGGAAGGCATGGGTGGTGTAAGAGGAGATTAGATCAGATGTCATTGGTAGAGCCCTGCAAATCTGTAGATAGCTGCTTTGTATCTATAGGTGTCTGCGTCCACAGATGTGGATAGGGAAATCCGCAGTTCATTAGGCGAATACAGATTTTGTATCTAGAACCCTGCAAATTCATCCATGTAACTTTTTGAAGATGCAGACACAAATTTTGTATCTGTACAGGGCTCTAGTCATTGGGTCCAAGTTTATATAGGGACCTGAAGCTGAGGAAAATAAGCCTGGGTTTGGTAAGTGAGGATGGGATTTTAGAAGCTTAATCAGAGAAATGGCAGAGGAAAATGACTTCAGCATGAACTTTTTGGAGACACTGGAAAGGGAATGATTACAGTAAACAAGACAAGAGACTGAAACTCTTGTCCACACCTTGCTTATTGGTAAGAATAATGAGGGAAGAACAGATTTTTGCAAAACTTCACTGCATTTGAGTAACAATTTGAGTGAGGGCCTAAATAAACAAGAATCACACATGACCTCAAATTTGGGAGTATGGGAAAGAGGAAGGATATTTTTCAGTGACAAAGAAGGCTGATGATGTCCACCTAGATGTCTGCTCCAGCAACAGTCACACCCCTTGATTGCAGTCTAGACATAATGATAAAAAAGGAAAACAATCTTTTGATTTGGCTAGGTTGTTAGTGATGTAAGGCAGAGCACTTTCAGTAGAGAAGGCCTAAGCCTAAACAACATGCCAGCTTAATCTACCACAAGTCCACACAACTGAAGGAGAGAGGGAGGGATAGAGAGGAGCAGATCAGAGAATAATGTTTTTAAGTAGAGGTGTGAAGACAGGGAATGGCCAGGATCTGGGGATGGGGTGCTGGATCTGGGAGGGGATATGGGTATAGGAGGGTGCAGCGGATTGGGGAAGAGAGGGACTGGGGTGCCAGTGGTAGGCTCTGCCAGTGGTTCCTGAATCAGCCTCCCTGCCTGCCTCACCTCTGCACAGGCTGCAGCCATGTGCTCAGGAACCCTTTATGTTTCGTGGCTGCCTGTTATTGAAATTGGCCAATGGGATTGTGCTGGGGGGTGGGAGAAGCTCCCTCCCCTCCCCCCATCACTCCTTTCTGGACTCACAGCCGCATTTCTGAGTGGTGTGCAAGTGGAGCGAGGCAAGTGGGGAGCCTGCCTGAGGCTCCCCGCAGCATCTGAGGGCCAGATCTGGTGGCTTGGCGGGCCAGATGCAGCCTGTGGGCCGTATTTTGCCCAGGCCTGACCTAATGTATCCATTTAAGTTCACAACAGTTTTGTCTGCTAGGCAACTGTGAGACCCATATGTTAAAATCTTCTGAAATAAGTAATAGCAGCTTTATTTAATATCAACTATTTATAATATAGTTAGTAGTTAGTTTTTGAGTTATGAACACCTTTTTAACGCTTTTTCATCTACTGAGAGTTATAATAGAGAGTAAAAATATAAACACTATATTTATAAAATAAAATTTAAAAAAGTGTCCCAAGAAAACTTTTATTCTAAGTTTAAACTCAAACAGTTGAATAATAAACCCATGAAAAGAGATTAAAGGAAGCAGTCACAAATCAGACTCTGTCATTCATGAACATCTTTGTGTCACTACATAACAGAGTGGGCTTTAGTGACGGGCATTGTGTGTGAGTGTAGGAAGGTGTGTTTGCCTTGACATTGATTCACACTATTAGATTGAGAGAAATCCCATAGGTCGTCTGGTCCTTCCCCAGGCAGTGATGTTACAGGAAGCTCCTTAATACTTCTATATTGCAGAAAGTGTTGTTGCACGCTGAGCTGTGTAAAATGAGGGAGGTTAATAAGTTTGTTGTCTGGTTATACCTTAATTTGTTTAATTGCATAACAGTTGGGATGCGATAGGTGTGCAACTCCTACTAAAATACAGTGATCTGGGCACCTAATTCATCTACAGTATATGGCTTTTTAAAATTTCACTCTTAATTTTGTATCTGAAATTGTACTCCTCTCACCCCCCCCCAAAAAAAGATTAATTTAAAAATGTAACATGGAAAAGTTAGATAGATTGTTCTACAGATGTTTAGTGCTTTATGGAAATAACCATTCATGGTCTGAAGAATTTACATTTAAAGCGTATGGCCTATTTTTGATATATTGAGATTGTGTGTAAGTGTGGTTGT